TCAATTCACCTAGCGTGGGAATCGTTTATTGTCTGCTTGAATGGTGGTTGTCAGACAGTAATTGTGGATACACAGCTTAAACGTAGATCTTTGTACGTATGTACATCAGTTCAAGTTGCCATGCCACATTAGCTGATAGAGATCAAATTGTTAATTTAAGTCCTATAGTGGTAGAGATAGTAGAAGTATCAGCGGTAATAAAAAAGATTAGTGATTAAAGATATCGTTCGAGAAGTTTATCCCAGAGGAATCTATCTAATAAAAAAACGGTCACGAGGAATTCAGAAGATTAGAATTCGAGAGAACACAAAGAATGGATGCACTTGCGCTATTGCAAACGATTTCGAGCCGTGTCATTCAAGGTCTCTAACCATAGGTTACTGCCGTCTCGCTGACCTCAACCAGGAGTCTACACCTACCAACATGACTCAACCCAGTTGTCAGTGACTTCATGGATTTGTTCCGTGTTTTGGTTTGGCCACCCCTAACTTTTTCCCAACACACTCCTACACCGCAAAACATAGCTCGTCGAGTCAGTCGGTGGTTAGGCATACATACACAACACATGTCCCAACCACCTCAACTGATGAAGTTTCAATACTTCACCTATTGGTTTGCCATCCCTAACTAGTACCCGTTTCCTAACAATAGCGTTGTCTATTCGATGCACGAGCAATGCTTCGGAAACATCTGTAATCGAATACTAATAGCCTACAAATATCTTATACTCTCACTGGCCATGCTTCACAGTCATAAAGTAAGACGAAGCGAACTGCTGCACAGTAGACTCTTCCTTTGGTTAGCAGACGGATATCTTGCCGATGGCATAAGTGAAGCAGGTTGGCAAAAGCCGATCGAGCCTTGTGTATCCGTGCTGAGATTTCATCAGTCACCAGGCCAGCAGTACTGATGAGACTGCCGAGATAAGTGAAGTGGTCAACACGCTCGACTACTTCACTCCTTGTTACTAGTTCAAGTGTCGTTACAAGCCTATCTTGAAGCAATATTTCGAATTTTGAGGGGGAGAGTCGCATCTCGAACATGCTTGTATTGTTCCCTAGGGTAGTCAAAAGACTGCATTTTGCCAGCATCTTCACCGAATAGGACTATGTCGTCGTCATATTCTAAGTTAGCAAGCGACTTTCCTGCTAGAAGATCTACTCCTGAAAAGTCCGACGAAGATAAAGTTAACTTTAAAAGTATGTCTGCGACAAAGGTTAACAAGAATGAAGAAAGTAAACATTTCTAACGACCAGTTCGCTATAAGCTCCCACTCGACCAAAGGTGATCGAGTAGAGTGCCTGTGTAAGGTTAGTGTATTACGTTGCTACACGTTTTAATGACAGACGCTGCCACATAACCTCACGATCAACTGAGTCAAATGCCGCCTTAAGGTTAAGTAACACAACTGTTGTGGACGCCAAAATGTTCCAGTACCTGGAGAACAGCGAATGTATGGTCTATTAATCTAATTCCAGGTCTGAAACTAGCTTGATGTTCCCTAGTCTTATTTTCACGAACCCTAAGTAAGCGTCTAAGTATTATTAAGGCTAACATTCTAAACACTATATAGGTTAAACGAATCCCTCTGTGTTTGTCATCAGAGGACTCTTATCCTTCCTCATAGGTTGGGACAATCACTGATTGAGAACAGTCGGATGTGATTACGCCCAGTTCCCAAATTCTATCTAAGATTTCAGTCAATCTCACTGCTAAGAGTGGAGCACCATTCTTAACAATCCCAGGGGTCGACGTATCAGAGCCCATTGCCTTCCCTCGGTTTAGATTTACTATAGCCTTTTCAACATCATAAAGAGTCGGAAGACCCATCAATTCGCTATTCAGGTTGACTGGAGATCAGGGATAACCTAAGTGTGGCTGAAGGCCAGTTGGACTGATCCCTCAAGTTTTCTGTCCATCGATCCAATCTCCTGAATTGAGAATGAATAGTAGTCTCATCCTTCTCCGAGATAGTATCATAACAGTCGGATTCTTAATTCCGGTTTCCTTGATGAGTTTGAACAGTTGTCTACTGTTACCTATCATTGCTGCCTTTTCCATCGCTCTTGCTTTCGCTACCCATCATTGTTCGCGATCATTGCGTAGGCTTTTTATCAGTCTGCGCTTAAGTTTACCCCGCTCCTCATCGTACTCAGAGCCAGACGGGATGAGTTTTCGAGCATCCACCAGTCCCACAGATACTACTGAGATCCACGGCTTCTCTCTAACCTTATGGTTTAACTTACTAGTAGATATCACTGCTGTTTCCACAGCTTTATGGATATCATTCCTAGCTACCTCGGATTAGGTTTCCTGAAATATATTCTTGGCTTTGCTATCGTTGATAAGAACTGTAAGGGGTTTCTTTAATCTTTCATTCTTACGTCCAGTAAGACACAGACAGATACGCGCTCATAGTAGAGCCTGATCTGAAATTTAAACATGCTCTCCAGAATGACCGACAGTCTTCAGTGGTACCTCACTCTTGGTGGCTGACAGCGATATGACTTAGTTGGGTCCAACGTTAGGACGAATTTGTTGGTCGCCATGTCAAAAGATGTTTTTCCTTATGCCCAAAGTTAGCATTTGGTAGAAATAAGCGATCGTCTAAGCATAGTTGCAGCAGACGGTCGCCATTATCTGTTTTCTAAGCTACACCTTAAGATCCGTTCATATGTCTTTCCTTTCCGCTTAGTCTACCTACCTGAGAATTAAAGTCACCCGTCCCTATTACTACATCAAATTGCTTAGACTTTTAGAGGTGGGAAAGCTTTCTGTAACATTCTTCTTCTACCTCGCCCTAGCCGCAGTCGGTAGGAGCGTAGGCAGAAAGGGCGAAAAGACAACGGCGTGTCCCTGTCATGCCGAGTTCTTACTATCCCGTTTAATCGGATGGCGCATAGGCGACTATCGACTGAGATCCAGTCTAAGAGAGCTAGGTAGCCTTAGAACTCAGTGCGGTACCTACACCAGCGAGGCCACGGGAAGCAACAGGATGGCTTCCAGATAAACGACACGTAAATCGAGTTGTTTCTCTATCTGGAGAAAATGAAGTCAAATTTATAATACTGCTCAGATCCTGTATGCTTGTTTCGGAGACGCAACATATGTCAATGGCTCAAGATTCTAGCGTCCTAGCTAATTAAACCTGGTACACCATTTGGCACAAGGTCTGGGCATTAAAGTACCAGCATTTAATTTGAAGTATGGTTTCAGGAGACGAGGAATTATGTTTTGTGAATTCGAAACGTTCGCATCAGAGGTGCGGGGCGTCAAAGGAATAGAAAAAGAGTTAATAAGAGGTGTAGGAATGATTTGATTGTGATCGATTTGGCCTCGTGTGCTATCCGAGTATTAGGGCGGATGTCACTTCCTGGCTTGACCGCAGAGCCCAACGGACAGCTGCTTGAGTTCGGTCACACAGGGCCCTTTTATGGGAAGTTTGTGAAGCGTTAGCTCCGCTTTTGTTTAAAAGGCCCCACCACTGGAGACGGAAATCCGTGAGCTAAGGTGAGGTGTGATATTTTAAGGATCGATCTTTTCTAACCCTTCCCTTTCTTGTGAGAAGGCAGCATCGCTTCAGATGCTGGTTGTCCGAGGAAAACACCTTTCTGCAGTCACATGTCTCTACAATCAACGGTACGACTTTGCCTTCAGACCTTGAGTAGCTGCTTTTAGTCTCACCCGTTGACCTATCTGGCATGGTAGGGGCTAAAGGTATAATGTTCCAGCCAATATAACTCGGTTGGGTCATCGCGATAGGCAACCCCGACAACCACGTGAAGGTAACAACTACGGTTGAATGTGGATACACACTAATCTATTTATGCATATCACGGTTTATGTGAGATATCTGTCATACATTAAAAGGCTACTTTTTCGAGCTACATTCTTTTTGTATTTTAGGCATCCTTATTTGTCGTTTTAGGACCATTGTAGCTCAGATTGAAGCTGTATTTGGTGTGTGAGGGGTAGTAATACCTTTAGAAAAGTTAAACTGAAATAGACGGACTACGTCTATTGTCTCCAATCTCCACTAACTCACTGCTTGTTAATATATTCGTCTTGAATGCTGGAATTTAAACTTTGATGCAATCACACCAGGCAATTCTTCAGTCATTATTGTCTGTCTACAGCAATGTGTTGCGAAGTACGACTGAAATAAGCTGGAGTAAAACAAGGCCAAGAGTGAACGAACTATATCGACGAAAGTCGACTGCGACAGCTTTTGCTGTTATGTAACTATAAAATTAGAAGGGATAGTATGCTGACTGGATGAAAATATTGGTAAGTTAGATTCTCCAGCAACCAAACAAATCTCTAAAATTAACCAGTAGAAAATTTAAGAATTATGCTTATCGTGGTTGACAGTCCCCAAGTAATCGAAAAACAATAATTTGTTCCCCAGATGTCTCATACAGTTTACACTATTTCCCAACAGTTTGATGGAATTAGCTAAAGCCATTAGAATTTTGGATATATTTTGATTTAATTCGAGAGATATTAGAATAAATCTGTGGCTAAACAGTTTACAGGCTAATTTTTCAAATCTTTTTATAACAAATTAGCTAACCTACTTCAATTCTGAACGCAGGTTAGTGTTGCTAACCCTCAGGTAAACGTTGTATGGAGCTTAACTTCTGATTAGTTGCCTAGTCACATGAGCTTGAACAGATGTCTGTGGAATTTGGCGTTTATTCATGAGTAATAAGTAGTGACTCCTACAACGACTAAAATCAAAGCCATTACATGACTTAATAAACAGTATTTCAAATAGCTTTAATAAACGAGATATAATGCGTAGTTTCGGAGCTTGCATATTCTTCATTTTATCATATATAGGGTTTGTTCCTTTATTCTCACGAACTAAATAATTCTTCGTTTTTTCGTTGATTTAGTGAAAACTTTTATCTTCCATTTTAGCGCACTTTTGTTAATCTGCTGAATATGCTTATTGAACCTCAACTGATGTGGATAACTTTCCTCAATACCAAACGTTTATGGCAATAAATTCAGAAAATTTCAGTCGGTTGCTTACTCAACAAACTTCTGATATCGAAGCTACTGAACAGCAAATTATCAGCTTGGAAAAATATAAATCAGATTACGAGTTTGTTAGTAATAAAATCCAAGAGTTACAAAAGTCAGTGTATAAAGATGCATATATTCCATTCACTCGTAAAGCACTTGTCCGTGGACGTTTAATTCATACAAACGAACTATTAGTTTATCTCGGTGGAACTGATGATTATTTTGCTGAATTATCTGTCTACGAAACTGTCCAGTTGCTCAGTCGTCGTATTAAACGGTTAGAAATAAAACTAGATGGATTGCATAAACAAAAAACATTGTTAATTGACAGGATCAATTACACTAAAGATTTAGTCTCGCAGAAGTCAGTTTCTGTATCGAAAAATTCCACTAATCATACTCTTGATAATATTGTAGAAGGTATTGATGACGATAAGGAGATTGAAATTAGAGAAGAATATGATTCTGATACTGAGATTGAATGGAGAAAAAAACATATAAATAGTCGAAAACAGGAACGTCTTTCCAATGCATCAAGACGTTCCCCAGTACTTACTACTCGTCGAGTCTCGTTTGATTTAGTTGAGAAAGTGTTAGAAGAACAGTCTACTGATAGTGAAAATGTTTCTAACTCAGAAACTGATTCGGATGGCAACAACTTGCCGATTATACACTTTCAACATTCAGATACACCTTCATCTGTCCCAAGGGAAAAAGTGGTTGATGTTTCAACGCTTACTGTTGCAGAGGCTGTCAATTTCGCCTCTAAGATTTGTAATACACGCTTTGAAAATGAAGTGTTTCCGGCAGAACCATTTGGTGATATAAAGGAACGAAAATCAGATACTTTAGTAGAAGCTGTCGATTTCACCTCCGAAACAAACCACCAAAGTGAAATACCTCCTACAAAACCGTTTGGTGATGTAAACGAACGGAAACCAAATGCCTTAGATAAGCCAAATATTTCTTCAGCTATCACGACACATGAAAGAAAACGATGTTCACTTTTCCGTTCTTCTCGCATCAAAGATTCCAAACCTTCGTAAATTTGTATCTTTGTGCTTTTGTAATCCTTCGCGATATTTTTTGTCATTTTTTCGTATTCTGTAATGAGCCGGAACTGTGATTTTATTCACGGTTTGTATATATACTAACCAGATTTTCTAATTATAGTATTTGTTGGGCGAAACGCAAACCGTATGTTTTTGTACACTTTTTGTTCATATGTTATGGAAGCAATATGGCTTGCTGGTCGCAACATTAGACCTTCTGTCCCAGCTTTATCTACTTTGTTTTGGAGCCATGGATAGTATTAGTATCCCTCCTACTTAAAGTGTAACTCACAACCAAAAATGCAAATCTGTATCTGGTAAATAAGTTACCCAAAAATAGGATTTGCTAGCGAATGATTTATCATTGACCTAAATGTTACATACATTTATAGAATTGTAACCAGTTATATAATGTACAAACAGATTTTGGATGCTGGCAGAGTTAGATAGTGGATAGCAGTAAAATCAGGACTCTTGTTTCGTTCTACTCCAGAATAGCCAGCTGGATGTCACCGAATTTCAGAGTTGATTTTCATTTCGAGATTTCAACTTATTACCACTTGGCTCAAGCTCCATCACGTTATTCACTTAGCTACTGAGTCCAGTTAGTCAATTGGATTGCAATTAATCTGTCTCTAGTAACATATGTGTATGCTGTGTGGATATTATCATTAAGTCACAAACATTATAAGCAGAGTTGGATTCAACTGGCTGAAAAGGATCGCAATAATGACTTTTCATTTGTTATGATTAATACGGCACATAGTGACTCGAAAATAAATCTTTCGTGGATTTATGAAGTAAGAATACCTGTGGGTACAGGTTTTGTCGGGTTTTTTCTGTGATTAATCTAGCCACAAGAATTGTTGTGATCTCCAGAAATAAGTTTCATCGAAATGTTCGAAAGAAAAAGCAGGCAATTACTAACTAATGTGTCATGATATGCACACCTTCATTAAAAATCCCTAATACATGCAGCAAGGGAAAATGAATAGTGCATTAATTATGTTTAAAGTAAAATTTTAGTTAAAAAATGGTTCACAAGAATACCATATAAATGTATGCACATATGTTTGCTTATGTGTAAGCTTCGTTTTCCTGGTACGCAAAATGAGAATGACGTGTACGAATGCTTGTTGTGCCAATTAACTTTAACACCGGTGATTGAAGAGACCACTAGTCTAAGTTTGGGCAGTTCAAATTTATCTACTATGTTTGGATAAGTGGTTGTTTCTGGACGGATGTGCACATTTTGATAGGTCGTCTCTGCGATTGTGTTCCTCCTTCAAATGTTTTAGTGAAAGCCCATAAATCGTCGATTTGCTGTTGTTAAACAGCACATTTGAAGGCGGTCGGATTTTTCAAAGGACACTAGTTAGTGTATGGTTACCAGTAATATGCCGACTACGCCATCATAAAACAGCCATAGACAGAGCTAAAGGTCACAGAGATTGATGCTTCAGAAGTTTAGTATGAATAGTTTAACAGTTTCTGTCTGTTTAAAGGTGTTGAGATCCTTCTTCCGACATTACCGTGTCTTCTACCTTCACATAACGGTTAACTCTATTGCTGGCATTTACATTATAGAAATGAAATAGTCCATTGGTTGTTTGAGTTAAAAGTATCTCCATTACAATATGGATTGACAACGCAAATAATTAATATAAGAGGTAGATATGTCCTCTTTCGGCTGTCTTGGTAAGTAGTTTAAGCACAACAATTAAACCTATACCTTATCCAGTGATCGGTAATCAACAGCTCAGTTTGAACTTGTCAGTTTACGCTTTTATTAAGATTCGAAAAGTCACCTCTGATTAGCTGTTCACCTTTTGGTTCGCTTACGGGAAAGAAATTAACGTTGAACACGATTATTAGGGATGAGTAATTGACTAGTGTTTATATTACATGTGATAGAGATATACACATAAATAAATGAGGTGAACAAATCACTCTACATAAAATATATATCACAGTTTATATGATAAAAAAAGTCCAATAAGCAGTTTTTAAGAACCATTTCCTTCAATGGACAAAAATATGTGTAGCTGTAGAATGTTGATCTTCATTACGTCCTAATACAAATATATGCTTTTTTAGCCATGCAACTAAACGACTAGTCAATAAATCCGAACCCATTGCACCAGCTTCCAAACCAACTCCATCAGCTGTTCCATCATTGGCATATGGTGCACTCGGTGCTAATGCATGTCCAATGCATTGTGTACTACCAGTTAAATTAACACCTTCAGTTAAACACTCTTTAAGAGATTTTGGAATTAAATTACATCCCATTAATGAATTCGCCTGGCAAGCTAATAAAGAGCTTTCAGTCCATCCTGGCAATGATGAACTAGTCGAATGAATCAAAGCTTTTTCATGATTTGTTGGGGAGATTGTATTAGCAGTTCCAGCGATTGATGCTCCTGATAGATTTTCACAATAACCTATTGTTGAACCTGATGACAAACGACTATTGGTTAATGGGTCGCGTAAAGATAACAAGAGTAACAATCGGTTGTATGGTTCAGGTGGTTCCCATTCAACACATTTTTGTAGGCGCTTAAGCATATTACCTGGAAGCTAAAAATGTAATATGACAAAATAAACAGTAATGATAGTGATTCGTAGTGTTGATTGATATAGACTAAGTTGTGAAATCCTAAGACAAACTTCGTAATGCGGACGTATGCTTGTGACGGATCCATCACCAGTAAATACACTCACTCGTACTGATTTTTATGATTTTTGGTTTTGGTCCTAGATGAAGTTGGGAGTGTATATGATTAAGGTGCTCGAGATTGATACAACACAAGTATCTAGTCCTTCCTTGTTTCCATTGGTTTTCTTGTTATCGGTCTCCACTGGTCGTCTGATAAATTCAATACATTTATTGAATATTTTTGCAGAAGAAAATGAAGAGAAGCGTCCGATGTCTACTCAACTAGAAGTATACAGCTGAAACAGAAAACTTGGATTTCTGTTTTTCTTTAATGCTAACAGAAAATGGAAATTGACTAAAATATCGTATTGTTACTCTCTAATTCATTAATCCTTAACAAAACACATTGCATATTTATGGTGGTCTCAGCCTTATTTTTTATGAATAATCAATTTTTTATTGAAAATATGGATTTATCGGTCAACCTGGGCACATCAACCCAAGTTGAATTATTATTTCAGCACAGAGATATGAAATTCATCAGTATTATTTTTGAAATTCTAAAAAAAATATTTTTCTTTCGGTTTTTTTGTGTTTGAAACGATAAAATTTATAAATACTATCAAATAGTTAATGTTGTACATTTTTGTATAATCGAATTTAGCAGCTAAAATAATTAGGTAGTAAAAGATGATATTGAGAAAAAATCATCTAAATGATTAACAATAATATCAGTTACCTGTCTATGTCTTCCATGTAAAAGTGGCATCCACAATGTGAACAGCTGCAGAAAAAAAGGATTTATGGTAATTTTCGTTTAATTTAAGCAATAAACAAGCGATTAATACATTCGTCTACTAATCTACAACACTTCTTATTTATAATAATTGTTACAGCAGAACAATGAAAGCCTTGTGATTAAATCATTCAGTTCAGAGATCGAATTTCCATCAAAAAGATGAGTTACTTATATTGGTAATAGAAATTACAATTTGCAAAAAAAACTTACTCCTGTTCCCTTGAGTGGAGCATAGGCAACGGGCCAGTATTTTCCAACCTACTCAGCCCTGGGCATTCCTTTCCAGTTCTATCCAACTGCCATTCATTCTTTTCATATTTGCCTCCGATTCCCAATGCAATGTATTCTTTGGTCTACCTATTTTATTTTGGCTCTGAGGATTCCAAGTCAGGGCTTGTCTTATGACTCAGTTCGGTGATTTCCGCAATGTGTCCTATCCACCTCCAGCGCCTTTTCCTAATTTCTTCCTCTGCTGGAATCTGGTCTTTTCTCTCACAGCAGGTTGTTGCTGATAGTATCTGTCCAACAGATGTCGAGTATTTTGCGCAAACAACTGTAGATGATGGCTTTCGTGGTTCTTCAAGATTCCGCCCCATACAGCAGAATAGTCTTGATATTTTTATTGAAAATTGGGACTTGGGTGTTGTTCGATAGTTGTTTTGAGTCCCGGATGTTCTTCGATTGTAGGAATGATGCCCTTGCTTTGCCAGTCCATGCTTTCGCACCTGCATCAAATCCACGCTGCTCATCCTCCGGAGCTTCTCCATCAAGTGTGATTTGGTCGGCGGATGTTATGTTGTATCGAAGATTCTTGCTATTCCCTTTATGTATGTTGGGACCTGCTGCTACACTGTAGTCTTCTACTGCATTTGTTGCTGCGTGTGCGATAGAAGAGGCAGATCATCTGCGAAGTCCAGGTTGTCCAGTTGCATCTGAGCTGTCCACCGTACCCCCAGAAGTTGACGTCTTCATAATCCAGTCGACCACCAGGAAAAAGAGGAAGCGTGAGAGTAAGCAACCTTGCCCAACACCAGTCTTCAGCTGGAATTAGTCTGTGAGTCGCCCTCCATGCATGATTTCGCAGTTTAATCCATCATAATAATTCCATATGGTGTTGACTACTTTCTCAGGCACGGCGTAGTGTCGAAGAAGTCTCCATAGTATCATCCTGTCCACGCTGTCGAATGCTTTCTCATAGTCAGTGAAATCGGTGTACAGTGATAAATTCTATTCATCTATTTGTTACCTAATGATCCACAGTGTCACGGTATCGTCGATACATGTTCTACCCTGATGGAATCCAGCCTGCTGATCACGAAGTTTGGCGCCTACCGAATATTTCGTTCCGTTTAAGAACACTCTGTTGAAGACTTTTCCTGGTATTGAGAGAAGAGTGGTGCCTCTATAGTTCTCACACTTGTCGAGATCTCCTTTCTTTGGTATATTGATCAGTTATCCTTATTTCCAGTCTATTGGTACTTGTTCTTCCTCTCAAATCTTACTGAAGAGAATGTGGAATATTTTTTTCAGTTACTTTTATATCTGCTTTAAGTGCATCATCTGGAATGTTTTCTGGTCCTGCGGCCTTGCCGCTATTGATTTGTTTCATAGTCATGCTGATCTGTAAAATTGGTGGGTCAACATTAATTGGGAAGTCCGTGATAGCTGCTTTGCGAAGCAAAGCTGATATAAATTTTTATAATTGTAGGAGTTAGTACTTTCCTATTATTGATAGTCAAAACATAAATTAATCAGTATTTATTGGGTTATAGACACATTAGATGGATGCTTCGATATTGCTCAAAGTCATAAGTGACTTTCATCGAAATTCAGGGTGTGTGCTTCATCCTACTTCAGATTCATGAATTGGATGTACGTGTAAATCGGTATCGACGGCCGTAGTGTAACTCAAACCCTCATGATCATCTCTTCAAAAACTAGCAGATTATTCAGCAAACTACTGAATCAGTAGAGGAACTAAACCTTTATGTTTTTAATATACTTTCTAGGCCCATCTTTTTGAATAGAAGAGACAAGGTTAGTGTTTTTTTGGCAAGTTAGTTTTAATTGGGATGGGGGCGCCAACCCCTCCTCCTTCATCCGGGCTTGGGACCGGCAGTAGCCCAGAAGGGACTACTGGCGGAGTGAGAGTAAATCATAAATAGGTTATCAATTACGATAAATCTAATTCCTAAAGCCGTTGAATAAGTCAGTTTCACACAAAATTTACTTTGGATTTGAAATCCTTGGAACTGAAATCATTTTTATTCATTCCATGCAGCGGTAACAGAACTAAGTTCCATAAAATTTATTAAATACTATGAAAGGTGAAAGGTAGTAGATTAATCAACAAGCAATGTCAGTCAACTTTGCATGGTTGGTTTACGTCACTTAAGTAAACGCAGTTATAATGAAAGCGTGTTGTATCCAATAATCTCTTTCTACCATATACGATAATGACTGAATTGTAGTTACGTTTGAAAAATGCAAATCTGGTAAGATTAAGACGTGAAACTATTAAAGGTTAACATGAGTGACTTTAAGCAGTATATTTCAACATGTAAATTCCTTCACTTCTCGTCATTTATATCCTTTACGTGTATTTCGATATGTATGTTTTCTGCTTTCCAATGCAAAAAACTGACGAAAATCCTATTTAGTCAATACACTGTGTTTGGATACCGCAGGAAGCGTTCAGCAAAAATCCTTTAATGTTGCCAAAGTTAAAAAATAAACAAGGGAGAAATTACACTTAAAACGAATTATATCTATGGTAAAATAAAGAGTTGTTACATGATTCTTATTTATCTTATAAGTATATATATATATATATATATATATATATATATATATATATATATATATATATATATATATATATATATATATATATATATGACAATGAACATACCTTTGAAACCAGTGATGACTGACATTCCATGAGCTCTTCAATAACGGTTAAAAGACGGCCACTCACAATTACAAACTGTAAATATAGAGGATAAACTATGATATAAAATTTAGATCACATATATCGTTGTTAGTATTTATGAGAATTCCCTAACCGGAATGGATAGTTACAGACCCTAAGTGATATGACTGGAAATCAGTTGCAATGGTACAGTTGAATTAATTTTTTGAAATCTCTTAAACTTTATGCTTTTTTTATTGTTTAATTTTACTGATCTTTTTTCGAATTATGTTTTCTAAATTCAACTTTACCTTAGCTACCATTGATAGTACTATTATTGCAACTTTATTGACTTTTCATCTTACTGGTTTATTGTTACTGTTGATAATATCTTGGGCCGTCCAGACAGACAGACAGATACAACGCAGAACTTCGTACATAAGTACATCAGTTCAGGTCGCCAGACCACGTCAGCACAGAGACGCGACTGTCAGTTCAAATCCAAGAGTAATAGCAATAATATAAGTATTAGTAATAATGGAGAAGATTGAGGAGCGAAGATATGATTCGAGAAGTATAATTCACTAAGATAAATTTAGAAGGAGAAAGGTAGAGATTATGAGGAATTCAGAAGGTTAGAATTTCATAGAACCCAAAGAGTGGACCGTCCATCTCAGGTTTTAAGCTTTTCTCCTGAGAAAAAACAAATAATAAATGAGATATAGGCGTTGGAAAATTCTTAACAGACAGTTACTTCATAGTTAAGTACTTATCCTATTAGACTTGATGTTTTTCAAGTAATATCACTAGTGGCTGACCGATGCAAAGGTAAACTAACTTGTAATTGATTTATTAGACGTGATTTTGTTATAACAGTCGATTGTAGTTGTTTTATTGAAAATAAACTCAATTACTGGATAGGCGTAAAATGATAAATCAAATAAAAGCCCAATTGTATAAGTTGTACAACTTTCACTAATACTAGTACTCTTTCTATCTTTCATGTGTTTTTATTTTTTAAATAATCAAGGAATTTCCAGTTTTTCTATCACAGTTTAATGCAGCTTTACAAGTCAGGTTTGCAATGTCATAGTAGTGGTATTCAGATTTCGAAAAAGCTGATTTTGCTCTAAAATCAACTTGAGTTCGCGATCGTCAAATGAGAATTAACCTTTCTATATTTGAAAAGGTTGGTGGATAGATAAACCTTTAATATATTCCACAGTAATTATAAAAGAGACTAATTTTGAGTGTATAGTTCAACAATCTCTACAACAATTTATCCAGTATTTCTAAATATAATAAACTCATGCATTATTTTTCTTCAGAACAATAATCATCAACTTCTTTGATAAAATTACAGGTAATTTCTTTAAGGAGTTATCAATTTTTTTTTAGGAAATGAATACAATCGTTACGTTTACAAATAATACTTATGAGTTTAAATAAAAATGAACTATATCACATATACGTACATCTTCAGAAATAGATAATAGACGTAATATAGTTGGCATAATTCTCATCCAAAAATCAAATGCCGTCGCCATAGCTGCTTTATGCTGATTCGAATTAACTGGTGAGAGACTGGCAACAGTTTCACAATAAATAGTCCATACCTTAAATAAATTTTATTTTTTTAAAAAAAAATACAATAATTTTGATTTAAATGAGGTAAAATATAATTCTTAACATTATCAATATTACACATTTTTGAAACCATGAACCTATCAATGTTAGACCGCCATCAGAAACCTGGAAGCACTGGACGGCCGTTTCGTCCTGGTATGGGACTCCTCAGCTTCCAGGTTTCTAATAGTTGTCTAACATTGATCGGTTCATGGTTTCAAAAATGTGTAACTTAACAACCTTCACAACCCCGTAATGCAAATTACCTGTGCTCACTAGTGACTAGCTTCGTGAGGAATCTTCTCCGAGTTCTAGTGGGAAGACGTGACCAGTGAAGTTCAACCTGTTCGGGTGTAGACAGTAACTACCGAAGACTGTGTATGAGGTTGCGTAACTCCGTGAATTTGATCAAGTTAGACATTAACACCGTCAGATACCGGCTCAGTGGTCTATCGGTCAGGGCGTTCGCGCACAATACCAAGGGTCTTGGGTTCGAATCCTCCAGGGTGCAGGAGTCGTGGATGCCCGCTGCTGAGGAGTCCCATACCAGGATGAATCGGCCGTCCAGTGCTTCCAGGTTTCTAATGGTGGTCTAACATTGATCGGTTCATGGTTTCAAAAATGTGTAACTTAACAATCTTCACAACCCCGTAATGCAAATTATCAATATTACCAAAATTAATATGATAAAAATTGTAAAGATGAATAAAGTAAATGTTTGTATATTCTCTAATTGCTTTCACCTTCTAGTCGTTTACTGTTGTAATGACAATCTAGTGAAATGTAAATGATTTTCAAGCCTATATAACTCAGAAATTTATTCTTAAATACTGTTCGCTTTAATAAAATTATTATTAATAATAACAGATAAATCATAAATAAATTTTATATCTTGAATTATTTCAAATACATTAATTAATGAAACACTTGAAAATGAAGTAAACAAAGAAAATAATTCAGATTATATTGTGTTATAATTTATAGTTATGTGTGTTGTAGTCTATAGTCAAGATAAATTGAATGAGTATAAACATATGTATATAATTTTCTCAATAAAATTTTATTGCATTATTGGTAAACAGTGAGGATTATATAGTCCGAAAATTGATTCAGTTTACTATTTTAGTCTATTTACACAATTGTATTCAGAGAAAATGTTACTTTTGTCAAAGATTATACTCATTATCAAAATTTTGTCATTAATACTAGTGAAAATCTATCTATCTCTGGTGTCTCTTCTTTTCTTTGCATATTCAAAAGATGAGTAAAATAAGGTACCATTGAGCAATAAACACGCACACACATACGAACTTGCTTACCTGACATAGCAGAAATACATGATACAGTGAAGACATTACTGTAACAGATTGCTGAAAGGTTAAAAGAAACGGAAAATTACTTTTATTTGTTTTATGTATCATGATATAATTCAATAAAAATTGACTAAGTACATGTTGATGAAGCTGCTTACCCAAATCGTTGGTAAACTTAAGTGGTGATTAAAAAGAGTATCATGAAAAGCAGTTCAATGATAAGTAATTATGCCAATATGTAGGGGAAAATTACGATTTTTTAATTGCTCAGGGCTAACTTCCGAATTCACTTATATATATATATATATATATATATATATATATATATATATATATATATATATATATATATACCAGGATGTATGTGATAAGAACTGAAAGAGTCAAAAGTTTGTGATTGAATAGTTTGCAATGCTGAAAACTTTGAATAATCTGTCTCTTCATATATTTAAGCATACTAACTGCCAAGTGTTTTGTAAAGTGGAGACAATAAACATGGTATGATGAAGAGACTGATTACTACTGGGTTGTGACTCAGTGGTCTAAGAGTAACGTGATCACTATTAGATTTAAAGATCCTATATTTACTAGCGTGTAGGATGCATACTACCAAATAGTTTTAAACCAGGGAATAAATAAATGACTAATGTTTCATAGTTTTTACGAGTTCTTGAAATAATATCAACCCGTAAGCAAGACTATTTTCAGAATATAAAACATTAGTACAACGGCTGTCATAATAACAGATAATATAATTTCAACAGATCATGATAGTTTGAAAATTTGAGAAGTCAATGAGAACTTTGATTGTTGACGTACTAGAAAATAGTAAAACTAGAAATAATCTCAGTAACAAAGGTATTAAAACTTAGATAAACTACGCAATATGAGCATCTCCGTAATTAAGTGACATGTAATGGAGGGGTGTTTGTGATTCATCTCAAGACATCACTCCTTACTTTCAGTATCCTCTAGCTTTCTCTGGTTGTATGAATTTTAAAATTTCACTTACACTTGACATTTATGCATTACTTGAGTAAATTTTACTTATGAATGACTCAAATCCGTTCTTCATTATATCTATTTTGTTAACAGCCTATCATCAAAATAATATATGTATGTATACATCATCTTGGATTTGAAATAATAATAAACATACTTTTTGTTGATCAGGAAAGCCACTTAACAATGCTTTGACTAAATCTGCCACTGAAGCCACTAAATTAAATGGTATAGGACGACAAGATAAGCCAGTAGCTTCACGTGTCAATGCCATATTCATTGTGGCACCAAGTAAAAGCCAAGATAATGTACGAACTCTTTCGACCATGATGAGAAAATCTTTTGGTCTAAATGATTATCGTAAAAAAACGAATAAGAATACAAAAAAGATTCAGTATGGTTCACTTATTTATCAGTCTGAATTAATTTCATATCATAATTTGTTTATGAAATAGATCAGTGTAAAGAATTTCAAGAAACTGAATTTTTCTCTTACCCTAATTGAGATGAGGGTGGAGTGGATTTTAACCAAGGTAAATATTGTAATACAAGTGCTTCTGAATGGCCTGTATGTGAAAATGTTGAAGCGAGCATCACATGTGCATAGTTTGGGTGTCGAGAATTCGCTAAGTTTGGACTAGATATTGTTTGAGGTATGCTAGATGTAGATGAGACAGTATTTGGCGGAGTTAAATTTGAAATAGATGCAGTTGTAATGGTAGCAGTGGAAATCTGATCGTGTGAAATAGGTGGTAATGGACTGGGAGGTGCAGAAGGAAGTAATTTTGTAGTAGTAGCTTCTTGCTTTTTAGTTGAGGATGTTTGAGTTATCGGTGTAGCTGGATGAGCATAGTCAGTTTCGCTAGATTGATTACCAAGTGAAGGGTGCACATCTGGTTCAGTAATAACAATAATAGCTGTATCTGGATGAGCTTCATTTTGTTTTACACCTGATCCACTACTTTTATTAAGTTTAATTTGTGCACTTAGTTGTTCCACATTTACAGTATGTCCACTTTCAGATGGTAAGTTTGAGTTCTTTCCCACCAATCCCGTTGAAGTGACATTTGAACTGGGAGCACTACTGACCGCTTTTGATCTAGCAGGCAATCCAGGTGCTGGATTCTTATTACTCCGCATTGTTTTTATATCAGCTAATAGTCCAGGTGCAAGTAAAGGTAAAACATCTTGATCACTTACACTGTTAGATCTGGATAATTCCAATGAAACATACTGTGATAAACCTGATTTTAAATGTGCGCCTAAAACATCTTCATGCAAACTTGGTATATTTGTGCCTAATCCAACGTTAGAATTAGCACCTGTAGCTCCAGTTCCAGAGTTAGATACTCCTGACGAATTAAAACCACCAAACAAACTACTACCAAGATTCCCTGATATTGCACCCCCACCGCTGGGCAGTGTGTTTGAATCAAGATTGCCATTGTTACACGGATTAGACCCGGGCATCGTAGATGAAGAACCAAGTCCATAACCGACACTGTTCAACTGAACTGCTGATTTTTGAGACTGTTTAATCTGTAATACAAAGAAAAATAGGTCTATATTTTATAAACTAGCTTATTAGTATGTACTGCTACGAATTAAATAAAAAACTGCCAATATCAACAGTAATCCATTATGAAGGAATGAAAAGACATAAATCTCGGTTACATAAAGGTTCTATGAGCGTCTAAATTATTGAAAATCAATTAGATTAGAGCAAGTGAAATAATAATATGATAATTTATGTAAAATAAACTTATATCTGCCAGTTAGTCAATTAATTCATCTCAGTGACATCACAAACAAAATTAAACTAGTTCAGTGGCAGCATCTAGCGATCATATAGATAATTCACTCTTTTTTTATTAGTACTTAAGAATGATGCATTCGCAAGACTAGATGATACAAGGTTAAAATATTACACAAATTTGGTTGATTCATGATTTAAATGAAGTTCAACAATCTCCACAATCCTATAGTGAAAAAAAATTCACTCGTCATTCATTTCCAATATAAAATTTCTTTTAATATTAACTATTGTAAGTCACATTACTTCTAATTCAGAGATCACACAGATGATGAACAGTGTGTAATGAGATCGAAGAAGCATAACACAATAAATTATGAAGCAAAGTAAAAACCATTGTCATTATAAGGTTTACGAGATAGCTGAACTTCATTTGCGCGCGATATTTTACGTTTTAAGTTCTATCTCCACTTGAGAGATTATACATAAGCACTGCTGAGGAGTCCCACATTAGAACGAAATGACCATCCAGTGCTGCTAGCTTTTCACTGTCTCAATTTGATGAGTTCATGATTTCAATTAGAATTATTATGATACATTGTACAGATTTTATGCATTTCACATTCTCAACTATCAATTCCACTGTTTATTCATAAATCATTAAATAAAAGCTGACATAAGTGATCATAATCATACAGTATTCTATCGGAAAGTCTAACGAATTATGAAATAATAAATGTCTCTTTAAAATCAACATAAACATCACTAACATACAGATATCTAGTGACAACTATATTCGCATACCAACAAAAACAAAGACTTTAGTTTATAAAATCAAACTTGTTCCCAGATTAGTTATTTCTTGTTACAATCTCACTCACAAGACTCGAGAGGGAAAGAGAGAGAAAGGGGTCAAGAAATTTGACCGAAATAGGCTGGTATTTTGAAAATATAGCTCGTGACTTGAATCTGCGAATGGTGATTGCCTCCACTCTAAAGTAATCGAACACAGATTTTATGTATCCATTTTCCCAGAATCACAACAAAATGAAAGTGTACATTATTCATTTTCATTAAAATCATTGATAAACTTTTATATCTTATTTCAACCGGATGTGATGAAATAAAAGTGAATCAGTTGGAAAATGAAAAGAAACAACTCACCTTATGCATTGTATGAATATCTGATATAAAAGCTAAACAGTCAGGTAAATGTGGTCTCATTAATTCAGCTGCACCAGTTGGAAATAAATGATAAGTTTGTGGATTAAATAGTGTTGTTAAACCTTCAACAACTTGATTTGGTTCTATGGTACCACCAGCATCCATGAGAATAAACTTGAAAAAAAAACGATTGTCAAATGAAATGTATGTCCATTTACAGTAATTAAATTAAGTAATAAGTAAGGAATAAATAATATCACTGTTACATTTTTAGTTTAAGACCGAAAGTGATTACCGTTGATAATGTAGTTTATTGGTCGTTTAAAGGGGAAAAAATTTATCAACAATCACCACAGAACACAGATCGATCATGTCAATATTGGGTAAAATATAATTTGATCTTTACATGTGCACATGATCGTTTTATTTGTCAGTAATCTTATTCAATCATCTAAATTTCTTGATAAGTAAGGATTAAGTTACCATTATTACTATCATATAATTCGAACGATTGATTTAACTAACCTTACAAAAATCATTTGAAACTTAAATGTACTCCCTTTCATTAAATATCAAAATGCTTTTTTTTAGGATAAAACTCAATGGACTTAGAAGTTAATAATATTCAGAATATTTCAAAGTTAGCTAGTGTATGGTAAGTAATAATAAGAAAATATTATCATGCAAACTTCAGTATAAAAGATTGTGTGTTATATTTGGCGCTAAGTATAATCACATAAGCAAGACTATTTTGTATCAAACATACTGTATTGTAAATCATTTAAGCTTAATCGACTAACAATTTGATACATAGTGCATGATTTGGTAAGCTGGAAATTAATCTATGCCAAACTCCAAACCTAAGTGTAGTAAATCTGAATGAAACACTAGATTTGTAAAGTTTTAATTGCAATTGTTTCATTCCTATGGAACTACATAGTTGCGTGATTGAGAAATACTATTTCTGAATGAATGAAGCCAGTGTATCCTTTTGCTTTATTTATTTTGAAAGAAAAATTACATTTTAAACTTTAGATTTTAGAACCGCTACAGTTTTATGTTTACAATTGATTGTGTGCTCTGTTGAATACTGTATCACTAGTTGAATAGTATGATGGTGGGCGGAAGACCTATAGGTTCCGATGTGTGCATTGCTTAAAGTTTGAAAATTCAAACGAAACACTCATTTTACTTTGATTATTGTAAATGAATACAGTTATTAAAATATTGTATTCATCTGTTCAGTGATACACTAACAAACGTATTTTTATATGATAAATCACAATTTAATTATAAGCCAAGAGGTTTTAAATTATATAAAGATAATTTTGGAGGAAAAAGATAAAAGCGAAAGATCATTTTATTCACAAGTAAATTGATGATTTTGAATAGAAATGAATTAGTAGTATTTTGATTATAGTAGATAAAAAAAAATTGAAAACATCCGAAATTTATTGTTATTCTGCATTTGATTAGAATGTCTATTTACATGCTTACTTGTAATAATTTTATCAAATTTTCATCAGGTATACAAGCACGAAATTTAATTGATTGATAAAACATATCAACCATGGTTCGACTCAATTGAGCTTTAGTACGATCCTATTTATTGAAAAGAAAAAGAGAAGAATAGTAAAACTGATGAATAATTAGATGGTTAACTATGAGATTTCCTTGAGTGTTATAATTTATTTTATTGATAAAAATTACTCATTATTATCCATACTAGTAAGTATAATTTACGAATAAAATGTGCTTATACAAATGTAATTGAATTCTCCTAGTTCGTCTTTCATGCAACATATCTTTAAAAATATTGATCATACTGTTGGACAATGAAGCTATAATAATGTAAAGTAAATAATTGAGCTGATAATACTACAATTTTAAACGAAACTACTAGTTAATTTATAAATAATGAAGGGATTTCTGTTTGGTGATAATACTTTTTAAAATAATCTAAAAATGTCAACAATCTATTTTTGACAGTTTATTTGGAAAAGTAATAAATATATATTTCCTAATGTTCTTACCATTAATAAATCACGTCGATTGAGTTTTAAATAACACAGATTACCAACAAAACAAAATAAGGTCATTGGCAATATTAAGAAAAGATTATTTATAAACAGTGAGGGAAATCATAGATCTTCAGTTGCTGAATTTGAATCAGTAATTTAGAATCATATGTAAAAAAAATTCAGTAAATAAATTGAAATTTTCACAGTTTATGTTCCGAACTGACTTTAGTCAAATCATTACCGAAAACTAAGAAGCACTGTTCAGCCATCTTGTCGTGGTATGGGACTCCTCAGCAAGAGACTGAAGGTCCTGTCTTTGGTTCTTGGGTATGCGGTTGTGGATGCCCAACTTCGAGATAAGCAGATCGGATTCTGTATAGACATATCGACCGAAACTTAGAAAAGCACTGGAATATGTAGAAGACATTACATATCCAAGCACCATCATTGATGAACAAGGTGGACGTGATGCAGATGTAAAGACATGGATTAGCAAAGCATTGGCCGATTTCTACAACTGATCAACTCGAACTCAAAATAATTGTCAACCAAATCAAAATTCATAATTTTCAATACAGATGTCAAGACAGTTCTATTGTATGAGATGGAAACTTGGAGAACAATGAAGGCCACTATCCGGAAAAATATAATGTTTAGTAATAGTTGTCTAAGCACAACTCTCCACATCAGTTGGTCAGACACAGTCAGTAACAACTTACTGTGGGTTAGAACAAACCACATTCCAACAGAGGAGGAAATCAGGAAGAAGCGCTGGAGGTGGATAGGAAAAACATTGTGGGAATTGCACAACTGCGTCCTAAGACAAGCCCGCAAATGGAATCCTCAAGGCCAAAAAGCAAGGGGAAGAGTAAAAAAACACATTACCCCGAAAATGGCAAACAGACAAGAAAAGAATGAAACAAAATTGAATAGAACTTGAAAGGAGAGCCCAGGACAGAGTAGGTTGGAAAACGCTTGTCTGCAGTCTATGCTGTAAGATGGGTTACAAGCGTTAGTAAGCAATTGTGGAATGATGGATGTGCACTGCTAATGAATCCCATACTAGGACAAAGAGGCCGCCCAGTACTTTCAGGTTTCCAATGGTCGTCGAACATTAATCAGTTCATGATTTCAATAAATAACAAAACACTCTTTTGAATTTTAAAAATAATAAAAGTTTATAAAACATATTGACGTTTAAAGTTTTAGATTGAATATTTACATCTGATAAACAGTAAATTGAGTGGATGTCACTTAGATTAACGCTATTAAATAGATGAATCAAAAATGTTACCTCCTATAGATTCTGACCTGTTCTTCGATATTTTATGAATAATTTTGTTAAGCAATTTATTCCATTGTTGAGTAATAATCACCGTAAATGTTCTCAATGTTTTAACAGGGTGAAAATCAGATCAAAAAGTGTTTCATATAAACATCTGTTTAGTCACAAGCCGAATACTGTCTTTCAATTTTATTTTGCCTTATTGTATACGTTTCCGGGGTGGAGGAGGGACAGTCTTAATGCATTGTCTGCCTGGGTAATTTTCAGTAATGTGATAGTTAATTAGCCCTTAAATCCATTTGGTTGTATGAAAATACAACACTATTTAATTTGTAACTCAGTGTTTAGTTTACACAACTGACGTGTTTACTACGTGAATCTACTTTTAGGTTATTTTAAAACCATTTAATATGTAAAAGGATTTTAATTTATAAGATTCGTGTTATTCTGTCAAATTAAATGTATTACTTTATATTTATAACTATTGGTTAAATTATCACAGAGCGATAAAAAAAAGTCAAACACTTACTTTCAAAACTCGATTACTTAGTGAGCATAATTCAATGACGCTAGTTAAACGAAAATGTACATTCTCGACAATAATACGAAGTAAATTTGAAAATGTATCCGGAAGTGTCTAGATAGTTCATAAAGAAGAAAATGAAAAGGTTTAACAAATTACACAGTTTGAAAATAAAAATAAAGTTGATGGATTGCACTCACTAAATTGTATATTATTTTTATTTGGAAAGATATGGTTGATGATTTATAATGAATTGAATCTTTTCATCATAAATGAATGAACTCTCCAAACGTTTTGTTAAATTTCATTTTTCTTCATAATTGATTATGTGATGAAGTTAATATTGGAAATACTATGGTATTGTCAAGGTATTTAAGCAGAATATCTTAATTCAGGAGCTTTCATTATTGTTTTGAATAAAATCATCAGCGCTAATTTCATGTAGAAGTGGTCATTTCAGTTATCCTACGAGCCCCAAATGAGTTTGTTCTGACGACCTTATTTGTGACTGAATGTTATTGTGAAAGTCATAAACTTTGTCTGTTCTTGCATTTAGGAGAATAGTCCTTTTTCTTTAACATCTGATAACACTGTTGATTATCCCTTTTCAAATAGGTTGATGAATCGGGAGTGTTGATTACGAAGTTGAAAGGACAGAAGGATAGTGTCCGGTAATTAAACCGGGTTGGTGGGTACGGAGGATCCACCTAGAGGAGTCTGAAAATCCTGACTCCGAAACGATTGAGGTACAAGGGCACTAAGATGCTGAAGGAACAAATGGTGCATGAACCTACCTACTGGTCACAGTCACGACTAACATTTTTGCATATATTTAATTGTTGCTAAACCAAATCTCATTTAGCACATATAAATTTTGTTGAATATTGTTTTTAATTGAAAACGTTTCTCCTTCCTGCTAGAATATAATTAAACACTATAAGAAATGTAATGTACCTAAATAGAACAATACATGAAAAATTACTGTACTATTTATATAATGAGATTACCTTGAAATTCGATGCAACAGGTGAACGTAATACATAGGTCATAATACGTACAGTTGTAGCTAAATTAATTGGTATCGGTGTAACAGTGGTTAATTTTCTTAAAAATAAATCCAATGGTCCAATCATATCAGTCCATCCGGAGGCTATAAAATGATTTAATTTACTATCATCGGTTAAATTTGGTAAATGTTCTAAATAATTAGCAAGATTTTCTAATAAGATAGGTAGAGTATCATGATTAATTGATTTTTGTTTGTTTAGTGATTCCAACAATAAACTGATTGGTTGAAAAATGGACATATGATCTTCAAAATCAACTAGCACAGAAATGATTATTCTGAAGAAATTATCATCTGTTAAAAACAAACAGTATAAAATAGGAAAAAACAAAAAAAGAATAGAGCATAAACATGGTTTATGTAGTTAAATTATGCCAGATGATAAATGAGGAATTTTTCAAGCTGTTCTCATGGATAGTATTCATAGATGAATCAATGTTTTGTCATATTTTTAGAATATACAGAAGTGAGGCTTTAAATTTTCACAGGTCATGTTGATGATAAGACCTGAACCTTCAGGCGATCATTCTAATGATGAGTCAGTAAGCATTTCTATTAACTTCAAGTAGGAATAATTGTTACTGGGCCAGTGTTTTAAACACCTGTCATATAACCATTATATTCTAGATATTCCGTAACTCACTGATCTCAGTTAGACAGTCAATGAAAATCCTAATGCTTTGGGCAGTTGCTGTGTGGAATCTCTTCTTCATAATTGCATCAATGAGGACAGAACCCTGTAACTCCTATTTCGCGTGGAAATTTTTAACTTCTAGACCATTCATCCGGCATCAACTGTAATGTATGTCTGACTTAAAACTATTTGTGAAATTATTTTCCATAAGCTGAAGTAAATAAACGCCTCACTTCTGAAATAGTTGAACCCCATTGATCATAGCTTGTCACTGAAAATTCAACAATCTACCCAAAACCCATCTGGTTCATTTAGTGTTAAGATCACAATTAAAAGAATTTGTATCGGATAATAACTAATCGATTTAATCTTTATATGTAAGATATAATTTAAATTTGATATAAGAATATGGTTACCAAGTTGTATTATCAGTAGACTAATGGTTAACTAACTATTGTAGCAGTTCAAGTTTCTACTTTTTATTCCAGGATGGATCATGGAGCTATTATGCTGAAAAGTTCGAAATCAAGTCTCAGGATATGTTCAATGATCATGATTTTGGTGGTTATTTAACAGAAAAAAAAGTCGAAAAACGGCAAACTTTTGAACGTATTACTATTACTTATAGATATAAAAAGATGGTACGATAATAGTAAGTGAATATGGTCAACTGAATTCATAATTTTGCTGATTATTTAAAGTCTTACTAATGATTTAAATATAGGTTGTTAAATGAAACGGTAAAAACATTACCTCTGATTTGTACAACTACCGGTATTATGTTTTATTAGAACAAATGTATTATATCATTCAAAATAAAGCAAGCTTTAGATTACTGGGTTCATCTTATGATCAGGATAAACGTACACTGATATCATTATGCTAACTGATTGAGATTAAAATAATCTCATTTCTAGACTTTATATAGATTGAATCATTCAGTTGAGGTCAGTAATCATGAAAAAATCTAATAGCTCTTTCTCTCTCTCTGAGATCAGAACATAGTCTTGGATTTGTAATTTTTCACATGCAAGGTTCAATGATGTTTAGTTCTGTACCCAGGGGTAACCATAGTATCAGAATTTTTAATGCTGTTCAAAATGTACGATGTGATGTGCATGAATAGTACAGATAGTTAGTGTTTTGAAGTTTATTAATAGTGGTTATAAATAACGATAACCTCATATGTAATCTTAGACAATAAACAAGAAATATAATTCATCGGTTATAGTATCATAGGGAGAACTAGTTCTGCTTTGGATTTATTTCAGGTAAATATATGTTCAGAAACTACATTTTAAAAAAAAACTACTATTTCCTTCTTTAAATACTGCCAAAAGTTTGTAAAACAAGTGGCTTTTAAATCCGAGTAACAAAACATTGTCATAAACAGATAGTTGGTAATTATTAGTTCATGTAGAATCATTTATCAAAATCTGATAAAATTATTGAGACTCAGTTACTTGCCTGTAATACGAGTTTGAAACAGTTGAGTAAACAGGCCATTTGGTGCTAGATTATACATTGTACAACGAAGAAACTGATGAGCAATGCTCGCCACATTTCCTGGACTAATCACATGTGGTCTAGTAGGAAATAGTAAAATGAAGAATCATATAATGAACAATGTAATTGTTTTAAATTTATACAAATTCCTACCTAATAACAGGCAAAGCATTAAATCTAATGAAATGTATGAAGTAAAAAATATCACATACAAAGTGAACTTTTGAGGTAAATCAGAGATATTGTTTTCGGTTAAACAGCTCTTACCATTTTAAAAAGATGATAAGCTACTCCGATGTTCATCATTATATCTAATTATTATCAAGAGAAAATTCTTTCTTGGAAAAACTAAAGTTGTAAAGAATAGATGGAATGTGTCTGGTAGAGGGATTCAAGATGCGAGTTTCGTCCTATTTGAGACTCGTCAACTGTATGTAGCTGGATTACAGAGTTGTTGTCCACTTCAGGACAGAACCCATAACCTTACACTTCAAACACTATGGTGTTATCTGTGTGAACTAGCAGATTCAAAGTTCCAGGGAAAACAACAGTACACTGTTTACTTTTCCTGTATTGTAGAATATCTATCAAATAACAGTAAAACGAAACCAGATATAACACAGATAAATTCATAAAAAATTATTTTTCTTCATCAAAAAGGATCAGGGAACTCATCACAGATGGGCTGGAATTTCCGAAAGCGTAACAGTTACTTCAGAATGTAAATGCTAGTTGATGATAAGTTTTTTAACCTGCAGTGACACATAGGATCAGTTTTCAGACTAGTAAGAGTACACACCAAAGTATAGGAAACAATAACTCCATTTTCATTCCATCAATCAAAATAAATAATCAAATGATATTTTAAAAATAGTGACTTCAAGAAACTCAATTATCTATCAAATTTTATCCCTGGTTTAATGATACCATCATTTTAGCTGAACACTGAAATTACTAATCGAAGAGGATTATCGAGAGCTACATATTATTTCTGTACAAGACTGATATTGTAAATAAATGATTGAATCTAATCCAGAAATGGTTGTAAATTGAAAATCTTGATATAAGCCAATGTTTACATTCAAACAAAGTCTTAATGATCTAGAAGAGATTTTAGGAAGAAATAATGATTACATTTTTGTTGCAGAATACATTTTAACTCATAAATTAATGTGATCAACAAAATGTTTCAATTAAAAACAACATTGTACACTATTTTTTGAACATTTACACATAACTTACAGTTCAGGTTGCCATGAATAGAAATATGCATTGGCTAGACGTGCTATAACTAACAACATATCACGTAAATATGGAGCTGCCAAACTAGGTTCACGATGCACAAATGTAGATAAACATAGAATACCTAAACCAATAGTATTTTCATCATAATGATCTAGAATACACTGACACCATGGACATCTTTCAGTGGTCAATGCCATAGTTATTGCAGCGGCTGTTAAACTAGGCATTGTATTTGCATTAGAAATATGTGAGTGAATATTTGAAGTTGTATAATTCAAGGAAGTAGTAACAACAGCATTGGTAGCATAAGAAGAAGATGGTGTATAACTATGCTTCTTTGTATTTTCTGATTTTTTATCTAATTTTACTCCTTCAAATAAATTATAACCTTCAGCAGTAGATCGTGAACGATCTATCATTAATGAATTATTTCCAGGTGAATCATTAGCAGATGCATAATTCTGTGATAGTAAATTGTCACCAGATTCTAATGGATGTGACATATTGGGTTTACTTTGTTGGAGATTTGTGCGTTTACTTTTGGGCACCAGATGTACTAAATCGGATAATGAGTCTAAATGTTGATTTTGCTGAATATGACTAGATGAATCAGTTCTGGTAGACTTGAGTTTTCTGAAAAGAATGAATATGAATTAGTCAATACATGTAAATAAATCATAAATCAAACATATTTTCAACTCAATTTAAATTACAAGTTTCCCTAGTGACTCCATAAGTAAATAGTGAAAAAAAAGAAGTTTTATAAAGAGTTCAAGGAAGTAATACCACTGTATATTGTAGCACGACATTTTACCATATTTGTAGGGCTTTATATTTCCTCGTTGTTGATATTGAGAAGTGTAATTGATCAGTCATCATGAAAGTGTTGTCTCAATATTGGTACTTAATCACAGGTTTCCAATCAAAGTCAAATAATAGTCAGCCGTAGGCGTACGTTTTATCCTATGAGGGACCAAACCGATAAGTCCGAAATAAGACAAAACACTTGTCCTCAGCTCCAATTCGAGCCGTAGTTGCAAACTGTTTAGAAGCATGTATATTATTCTAGTTAAGCTGCATATAGAAATATTTTATACATTGATGAAATATTTATGTTTCATATTGATTATTTATCAAGGTTCTTGGTATTAGCAATTATGATAACTATTGGAATGTCAAGTTTACTTCAATCTTAAACGTGAAAAAATTGCGTAAACCTAATCAAACAACTTATTTTATTTCAACAAAACACAGTTTCATTCACACTGATTTAAATGCACCTCGATTTAATGAGCCTATTTCTTAGCTACTAAAGTATTGTCTGTTATAAAAAAAATTTAAATTTACAATACTAACATAAATCATCAATTTGAAATCGTTTAACGATACTTAAATTCTAAAATCAAAGAATTCTTAGTTATTCAGCCTTTAACTGAATAAGAGTAGAAAAATACCACAAAGTCTATAGGTCATTTATTCATCCATCTTCAAATTTGGAAGCAAATTAAATGGATAGAAACAAATGGATAATCATTGCATATAATATCACAATGAAATTACATTTTTTCTTTAACTAAAATACTTGATGACATTGTTTATTCATGGAAGTAATTTTAAATGGTAAAACGATTACAGTATGGCTTCTTATGCAACCAAATAAACTTCATAATAACAATAATAAAATAGATGATATTGATGAATTTCACTGGGAATTATTAGAAAAAAAGAAAAATTCCCCAAAAAGAGCATAGGATTATGTGTAAATGAAAAATCAATAAAGAATCATCAACAACAAAAATAAAAATATGAAAGAAAACATTGAAATCTAATTCCAAAAAATCGGGCTATAGCAATACAAGTGATTATACAGATGATGGCAATACACATAAATTTGACTTTATATTGAATGAGACTAGTACTTTTCCAATGCTAGATAAATAGATATTTGCATAAATCTTTATGTAGATTAGATAATATCAAATATCAAATTATGATGCTACGTTATTATATGCAATCAAATGTTATAAAAATTTTTTATGCCTGATAGATTGGTTGTTATTTCTAAATGAGTTTTTTTTGTTAAGTTTAATTCAAATATCTAACTTGTTGAAGTGTTGAAATATAAATTAGGAAATAGTTCACGCTATCTTTTTATACTATGAGATATGTGTCCATAGTCATTTTTGTCATCATGTAATTAAAATAACAATAATAATAATAGTAATTATATTAATAATCATAATTACACAGTACATTTAATG